CACTCATCAATACACCACTCATCAAATGCACCACTCATCAATGCACCACTCATCAATGCACCACTCATCAATGCACCACTCATCAATGCACCACTCATCATGCACCACTCATCATGCACCACTCATCATACACCACTCATCATACACCACTCATCATACACCACTCAAAATACACCACTCATCACCCAGTTAGCTCTAGTTTCAATAGCTCTAGCTCCAGTTGCCTGGCAGGCGCAGCACTTTGTGAACCTCCATGTGCAGATTTCGTGGCATCACAGCACTTTGTGTGATCTGAACAAGCCAAAGAAATTATATACTTTGTCTCGCAGAATAGGTGTGAATAGGTATATGGTTCATTCCCAAGTAGATAAATCCCTGTGTTCAAGCGTGTCACTTGTTCCAAGCCGTGCTTCATCATTGCAAACCACCCCAAATGTGCGTCCCTGCACACGTTCCAAAGAGTTGCTGAGTGGTAGCGAATGGGGGCTTCGATGTTCCTCCAGCGAGCTTAAAAAAACTTGTTTTCGAATGTTGTTTCTTCCCATACCTTTTAAGACACTGTACAGTGGCTGTTCAATCATGTCGAGCACGACGTTTTATTGACGTTTCGTGATGTTTTCCATTTTTCTGACCGTCTTGGTTCTCTCAATTTCCATGTCTTTTCAATTCTTCTCTTCCAAAGATTCCGAATCACCCGCGTGGATCTCCCGCAAAGGCAGGGCGAGGTCGGTATCCCCTGGAAGTCCGAAAACGATGATATAATTGGTCCAATGAGTCCAATGGTCTTGAAAGGTGTTCCGAATAGGAAATTCTTTGCGTTTGTTTTGAAAAGGGGGTGTCTTGGACTTCTGCGGCGATACTCGAATTCCGCCGATACAGTTCAAGCGGCGACCCACGAAAAACACGACAGGGGTGACCGGATCGACCCCCACGAAGCGTGCCTCGACTCCAGCCCCACCAAGCTTCTGTCCTTAAAAGTGACTGACCACAGGGATCAGCATACATCACCCATGTGACCGTCACACTCGTGAGTCGGCACGCAGCTCCCAGCTAGCACCGGCCTCTTATTATGGGATTTTTCCGGTGCGCTGGAATTTGCGTGAGCCAACCAGGTCATCAACCTGGTCATCTGATTTGTGCAGATCCTTCCAACGGAATGGAGTTTCAGGTCATTGGAGTGGGAAGGTGTTTTGTAGATAGTTCCTTTGGTTGGTTGGTGGGTGGGTGGGTGGGTTGGGTTGGGTTGGGTTGGGTTGGGTTGGGTTGGG